GTTGCAGCTCTTTGCCCGCTTAGTTGGCTGGGCTTTGATAACACTACTTCTACATTAGGGAGTCACATCACCAGGGGAGAGAGCCATTCTGTAAATGTATGCTGATCTGCGCATGCATGGCTCACTGTATACAAACTCTCACAGGCACGAAGAAGGGTTTATGACAGAAGAGACCAATGTCCTACCTGTTAGTGTTTTTTCAGCTTTAAATCAGTTTTTTTGCTTCCATGTTACACATGGAAGCATTGTTACACTTGCCTAGAGCTCTGCTTTATCCCTGTATAGTGGATGCAGAAATCCCTGGTTACAGCTCTTCTTGTCCCATACCTGGAGTGTGGTGGGGGGCAAGTGACCTGGCAGGTACAGGGTGGCAGTTAGTCATGGAGAAGTTAAAACTGATCATTTAGAAGACAACAGATAGCCAAGCTTTGCTCTCAGGATCAGCAGCTCAAGCCTGCTCTTTATTTGGATGAGCCAGGATGCCACAGTAGTTGTTTTTATTTTCTGCTTGGTGCAGACCAGAATGTTTAATGGTTCAACAATTGTTGTGGAGTTTGATCTTATCCTTCAGGCATAATGCTGTCATGCTGTTTAATTTGCTTTCCCTATGCAACAAGTGAGACTGTGGCTTCAGGGAAGGAGTTCTGGTGGATCACTCTTTACTACAATTGATGTTTGTTAAAAGGGACCTAACACCAGGAAAAAAATATAAAAGTATGTTTGTATTCTTTTAAAGAAGTAGTAGAGTATTGTAGCTTGTTATCCATCGATTAATGCAGAAAGTTTGAATGTTAAGTGATACCCTTTATTACCTAACTTAAGGTATTAAAGATGCAAACTTTCAGAATATCTTAGATTACCTCTTCAGACTTTAAACATTTCTCAAGGGATATGTACAGTATGAAGCCTGAAAAAAGAACTTAGTTATCCCAAAAGCTTGCATCTTTAAAGTTGTATTAAACCCTCAGCATTTTTTTTAGCTCAACACCTTGAGCACAATAAAATAAACATTACTCAGTAAACTATTTGTTAAAATTCTTATCATGGCACACACAGTTTACAACATTCCATGCTGCTCTTTCAGTGCTGCTTCCCTGAACCTCCAGTCTTGTCAAGAAAATGTTAACAGTGGACAATGTGGTCTCTGTTAAGTATGTTAGCTTGGAGAAGAAAAGAGGGAGGAGCAGGGGAGTACCTTGCCATCCTAGGCAATGAGGCTGCGTGTTTCTATTAATGCATACAGTGTAGGGAGACAAAACCCTGTATGCAAAGTGGCTCCATAGGATGCAGCCAGAGAAAGGAGCCACCTTCCACCCTGAAACAGGAAACCTGGGGCAGTGGTCATGGTGCCCAACTGAAACTGGAACAGGCAAGGATAAAACGGTAAAGGATTACAGTGGCTAAGTGGTTAGCAGTTCTGCCCAACAATGTTATACAAGCACCTGTAATAATAGTAATAATTTTATACTCCGTAAGTTATTAAATCATCTACTGAAAGTGCCTAGAAAACTGAGGGTTTAACATGACTTAATGCAAGTTAGCCAATAAAAGGTATCACTTAACCACTTGCAAACCACGCTATAGCCAAATGATGGCTACAGTGCGGTTGTCCAGTTCTGGGAGGGCATCATATGACGTCCTCCCAGAACACGCCCTCCCGTGCGCCCTCAGCGGTGCGCACCCAGCGATCTCCATGATTGCTGTGTCCTGCGAACACAGCTGATCATGTGATGTGGTAAATGTCCAATCACAGTGGTCTTTTACCACGTGATCAGCTGTGTCCAATGACACAGCAGATCACCAGTTAAATGTAGTTGCTGGTTATCGGCTGCAGTTTCCTTACACTGTCACAGCGTGAGGAAAGTACTGCCAATAACCAGCAATTGTCAGAAAACATATTGGCACTGATGATCAGTGCCCTGATGATTAGTGCCCAGCAGTGCCACCCACCAATGCCGCCCCCCCTGTGTCCAGCAGTGCCCCCCACAAGTGCCACCCACCTGTGCACATCAGTGCCCAGCAGTTGCACCCATCTGTGCCCATCAGTTCCTAATAATGCCACCCACATGTGTCCAGCAGTGCCACCCACTAGTGCCCCCCATCAGTGCCACCCATCAGTGCTGCCCAGCAATGCCACCCATCAATGCTGCCTATCAGTGCCCATCAATGCTGCCTATCAGTACCCATCAGTGCTGCCTATCAGTACCCATCAGTGCTGCCTATCAGTGCAGCCTCATCAGTGTCCATCAGTGAAGGATTAAAATTAACTGTTTGCAAAATGTTATAATAGAAACAAAGGAAAACTATTTTTTCCAAATATTTTGCTCTTCTTTTGTTTATAGCGCAAAAAATAAAACACCCAGCGGCGGGTAAATACCACCAAAAGAAAACTCGATTTGTGTGAAAAAAAATTATAAAAATTCCATATGGGTACAATATTGCATGCCCGCGCAATTGTCATTCAAAGTGCGACATCGCTGAAAGGTGAATTTTGGCCTGGGCAGGAAGGGGGTATAAGTGTCGGGTAGGCAAGTGGTTAAACACAAAAATTTCCACTTTTAAAGAAAAATTGCAGGAATTTGTTGTTTTTTTTTTTTTTTTTTTTTATAAGAGCTTGATAAATAGATGTAAAGGATTAAATACACTTACTTTTTGTTGTCCTCTCCATAGAATTCCATTGTGCCAATTTATAAAGTAAATAATCCGTATCCATGTGTTAAAGGGCCAATAGTTGAAAACTAAAGGACAGACAAGGGCATAAGGTATAAGTGAAGACAAAACTTTTTTTAAATTTTGGTCTTGGGGAATCTTCTCCCTCCCCTAGCTGCTAGGGGAATGACTGCTCCAGTAAGGAGGGGGGCAAGGGTAAAGGTAAGGTTAGGCAGATTTGGTGGTAGGGGACTCAATTATTAGGACAAATAGGGCGATCTGTCACAAAGACCATGATTGCTGAACAGTACGTTGTTTACCTGGCACTCGGGTTTGGCATATTGCGGATCGGATGGATAGATTGTTGGGTGGGGCTGGTGAGGAACCAGCTGTCATGGTACATGTTGATATCAATGACAAAGTTAGAGGAAAGTGTAGTATCCTAAAAAAAATATTTCAGGGACTTAGAGGCTTTAAATGCAGAAAAGGACATCCAAGCTGTTATTTTCAGAGATACTGCCTGTATCTTGAGTCACACTAGAGAGGCAGCAGGAGCTAAGATAACTTAACATGTGGCTGAGGAATTGGTGCAGGAAAGAAGGTTTCAGTTCCGAGGAGAACTGGCTTACTTTTCAGTCTATTACTGGCTCTATAGTGGAGACTGCACCTTAATTAGTGGGGAGGGTGCAACTCTATTGGATGAAAGGATTGCCAAAAAGATGAAGGGGCTTTTAAACTAGGTAGCAGGGGGGCCTTCAGAGTAAGAGATAACCCATCAGCGAGCAATATGGCAAGTCAGAGGGTACTATAAACATAATACTGAAACCATGGGTGTGAGGGTTGGCAAAACATAATCACAGCAACAGGAAAACTAAGAAGGAAATAACATATGCCAGTACAAAACTGAGAGGCATGTACAAAATTGCTAGGAGCCTAGCTAACAAAATGGAAGAACTTGAACTGCTGATACACGAGGAGGATTTTAACTTTCTGGGAATATCAGAAACTTGGTCTGACAGTTCACATGATTGGTCAGCATCTACCCAGGGGTATTCTTTGTAAACGAGGGGCACGAAGGGTAGAAGAGAAGGGGAGGTTTGCTTGCAAATAAAAAAGTATTTGCTAGTGAACTTGATCGACGACATTGCAAATTGGGTGCGAGGAAGGTGGAATCTCTGTGTGTGAAACTCCAAAGGGAAGAGACAAGTGGGAAAATAGCAGGGTTATGCTACAGGCCCCCTAACCTGAAGGAGGAGAAGTTACAAAATGGCAGAGAGGCAGGGAAATGTTATCATAATAAAGGACTTTAACTGTCCAGATATTGACTGGGCAGAAGGAAAAGCTAATTCATTTAAGGCTCATAATTTCTTAAATGTCTTACAGGACAACTTCATGTGCCAGTTGGTAGATGCCCCGACTAAAAAGAATGCATTGCTAGATCTACCAATTACAAATAACACAGATCAGGTCTCAGATGTGGAAATACGGGACAACTTGGGAACCAGCAATCACGGGATAATTTCATTTCAGCATAAAATATAGGAAGAGGAGGCACATGGGTAGTACAAAAACACTAAACTTCAAAAGAGCCAACTTGTCTAAACTGCACTTAGTACTACAAGATATTATCCTTAAAACAAACACTGAGGAAAAATGGGAATACTTTAGGAACATATTAAAGGTATTACCCAGTATATTCCAATGGGCTATAAATATAAAAGAGCAAAGGATAAACCTGGGTGGCTAAATTTTAACATATTAGAGAACAAAAAATACAATAAAAAGTGTGAAAAGCAATCAGGGCGTCTAAAATACTACTTGAGACACATAACAGAGGAGAGTATAAAGACATTTTTTAAATATATTAACAATACAAAAATGAGGACAGAACATATTGGCCCCATAAAGAATGATGGAGGGAAGTTGGTTACAAATGATAAGGAAAAGGTAACTATACTTAACCTCCCTGGCGTATGATTATTTCATATTTTTGGTGCTGAAAGCGGTACCATTATTTTGCATGGAAATATGCAGTTTTTTTATTGTAGGCTGTAATTTTTAGGAATAACTCACTGAAATCTGTCTGAACAAGATTCTAAATCATACATTTAATTCAATAATATAATCAAACCAAAAACACTGAAATTTGAAATATAGCGCCAAGTTTGCACATCGCTGAGCAAAGTCGCAAAATTGTTTTCAGTGTCTGATGACGAATTTCTCCACGAATCATTATCACTCAATTCTGCAAGTGGTTCTGATTTACTATCGCTGTTCTCTAGCTGATCTAAAACCGATTTTGACATAAAGGGACACTTTTTGGACGCCATGGACTTTTCTAAGTTTCCAGGCAGAAAGAACAGTAAAAATGAAGGCAGGGCACAGGACAAAGCACTAGGGACAAAATGTATGTGAAATGGGTTGAAACAGCAATGTTTTACTATGTAAAAAATCCTTTTGCAAAAAATGACATTTTTTTCAAATTTTCAAATTTCCCGGCGCCGCCGGCGCCCGTACGTTCCGACGTCACAGGGACCGGAACACAGGAGGCGGATGCCGGCATCAGCCGGAGGAGATGGCCGGGGACGCTGCAGGGGACACATTGCGGGAGCCAAGGACAAGGTAAGTGCTGCAGGGACTCCCTATACAGCGCCGCATGGTAAGCCCGAGTGTAGCTCGGGGTTACCGCTTTTGGTATAGACATTTTACCCCGAGCTACACTTGGAATACCGTTAGGGAGGTTAATGCATGCTTTGCCGCAGTTTTTGCAAAGGAAAAGGAGGGGTATAGTAATTAAGACTGCATCAATAGTAACGCATCACAGAATGTACACTTGTAATGAACAGAAGCCAGTGTCCAAGAAAGACTAGAAGATATTAACACAAGTAGATCACCAGGACCCGATGACGTACACCCAAGAGTCCTCAAAGAACTAAGTCAGGTTTTAGCTAGACCGCTATTCGTAATCATTATGGACAGCATACTGACAGGAATGGTACCAGATGATTGGTGAAAGGTCAACGTAGTACCAATATTCAAAAAAGGGCGAAGACATATACCTGAGAACTACAGACCAGTCAGTCTATTATCAATAATATATGAACTATTGGAGTGGATGATAAGGGACTATGTCCAGCAATTTGAGGAAGACAACAGTGCAATTAGTAATAATCAGCACGGATTTACGAAAGGTCATTCTTGCTGAACCAATCTGTTCTTTGATAAAGTGAGCTGACATCTAGATAAAGGAAGGCCAGTGGATGTGGTGTATCTGGATTTTTCAACAGCATTTGATACGGTCCCAAATAGAGGTCTGTGGGCATGGACCATAGAGTTTGAACATGGATAGAAAATTGGTTATAGGGACGCGTCCAATGGGTGATGATAAACAACGAGTACTCAGACTGGTCTGCAGTGGTAAGTGGGGTACCACAAGGCTCTGTTCTGGGACAAATTCTGTTTAATGCTTTCATAAATGATATAGAAGTTCATATAAATAACTCAATCTCAGTGTTTGCTAAGGATACAAAGCTAAGTAAGGCAATCATTTCACAGCGAGAGTCGGTGAAGAGGAGGAGAGTGGCAGAGAAGGAAGACAGCTGATCGGTAAGGTAAGTGTCTGTGCCGTGTGGCCAGGATCTGGGCAGAGCAGATGGTGCTGCTGCAACCAGGTATGCTGACTGTGGATGGGAGAGGGAGGGAGCCGGGCTGAAGCGGGGGTCAGTACAGCAATGTAAGCATCATTGGTGTCAGTGGGAGTAATAGTGCCCCATCATTAGTGCAGGGGCGTATTTACCACAAGGCAAACAAGGCACTTGCCTAGGGTGGCATTTTTTAGGGGGGAGCACCTCCTCCCAGAAGAAGGGATGAAAGAAGGGATACCTGGGAACCAGGTGGGATCTGAGAAAGGCTGCGGGGTGCTTGATGGTGTATGTAGAGCCTGACTCTCGTTCCCGGGAATGTCCAGAGCTGTGAAGATGAGTGTCTTTCTCTCTATCGCTGGGGGGGGGGTAGTGGAAGGCTCTCCCAGGTGGGGGGCAGGGGAGTTGTTGGTCAATGTCGGGGGGGGGGGGGGTCGGTGTCCTTGGGGGCAGATGATTTTTGTGTTGCCTAGGGTAGCACAAAACCTAAATACATCACTGATTAGTGTCAGTGTGAGAGGAATAGTGCCCCATCATTGGTGTCACTGACACCAATGATGGGGCACTATTCCTCCCACTGACAGTAATGATGGGGCACTACTCCTCCCACTAACACCAATGGTGGGACACTATTCCTTCCACTGACACCAATGATGGGGTACTATTCCTCCCATTCTCACCAATGATGGGGTACTATTCCTCCCACTGACACCAATGATGGGTCACTATTCCTCCCAATGACACCAGTGATGGTGCACTATTCCTCCCACTGACACCAATGATGGGTACTATTCCTCCCACACTGATACTAATGATGGGGCACTATTCCTTCCACTGACAGTAATGATGGGGCACTATTCCTCCCACTGACACTAATGATGGGGCACTATTCCTCCCACTGACACCAACGATGGGGCACTATTCATCCCACTGACACTAATAATGGGGCACTATTCCTCCCACTGACACGAATGATGAGGAACTATTCCACCCACACTGACACTAATGATGGGACACTATTCCTCCCACTGACACTAATGATGGGGCATTATTCCTCCCACTGACAGCAATGATGGGGTGGATCTTAAACAGGAAGGTTGTGGGACAAATTTAGATGCGGGGGGGGGGGGGGGGGGCGGGTTGCCCAATTTTAGTCTTGCCTAGGGCAGCACAAAACCAAATACACCACTGCATGGGGTTTACACTTAAACGGTGATAGGAGATTTTAACTGTTAGAACAGTAAGGATGTGGAACTCACTTCCACAATTGGTGGTGCCAGCGGGAAGTATTGATAGTTTTTATAAATACTCTTGGATGGGTATTTTAACGAACACAGTATACAGGGATATGGGCTATGTTTTTGACATGAGCACTCACACACTAAGACAGGTTGAACTAGATGGACTGGTGTCTTTATTCAACCTTACTAACTATGAAACTAAGATAGAGTGGAGTGGGATTAGAACACCTGTCAAGTTTTTATTGCTGTGTGTGCCCCCCATTGGGGAGATTTATCTTCTCTATTTGTCCTGATGGACATTATTACTGAAAGTGTAAGATAATCCCAAATTTTGAGTAGTCACCAGAAAAGGAAAAAAAATAGGAACAATCAGAAAAAATAGGAAATCTTTCAATGAGGACCCTGGTGACAACCAAGGATTTCTCTCACTTTGGAGAGATTTTCTCTCACTTTGTGTTGCGGCCATGAGACAGGAAGTGAAGGGAACTCTCCCCAATGATGGGCTTATAACCTTCCCTTACTCTATCCAAAAGAAAAAGGTTTTGCCTTCAATTCTACTTTAACAAACATGGGTCATTTGGACATGGTACACCCCTAAAGCCATCTGATTAGTCTATACTGGCCTAGTCACTCTTTGATCAGAGGTCCGCAAAGCTGAGTAGGGGACCTGTTCTATGGAAAGAAAAGCAGACAGGTAAGGGGAACCACTGGCACACTTGGCAACTAACAAGTGGACTTGCAAGGTCAAAGGGACCTTGGTGGTTCTGTTACTGGAGGGGATCAACATTCTGCAGCAAACATCTGAAACTTCATGGATTGGCCTGGGTTTGCTGTAAGTTTGACCCCAGTTGAACCAATTTGGTCTGTCATACCAATGGGTTATCTAGCTTCTGACCAAGTTGACCATAGAGAATGTGCCTTTATGTGAACGTGGTGCAGGACATGAGGAAACCATAACGAGTACTTTCCTCTAGAATTATAATTAGGAATTGTTATGCGGCCATTTTTCATTACAAATAATGCTTAGTGTAATTTTTTAATCAGCATTCAACCGATAAACACTAATCCAACTGTTCTTGAAGGCTTGTCATGTTGCACTTGCAGACTGGCAGCTCGGTCCCAGGCCACTGGTGCATGATGTTGTAAGTAGTACAGTTGTGGCAGTGGATGTCAGCACAGTGTGAGCTTTATTCCCAAGCTTTGCTCCATTAATTATTTCAGACACCTTCCTCCTCCCCAAACCTGCCAGGTGCGGAAAATGAACTGATCATAACTGTCATTCTTGTGAGGGAATGATCTAGTATGTGAACGTGTTGGAATATCTTTGCCGGATTAAAACAATATAATACAGGATTTGGTTTGACAAACTATAGTTGTGTAGTGACAGGGGTCACCGTGGTTAGAAGTTTGGATCATATACATTCTGAACTCCCAGACAAGTTTACCAGTCTCCTGACTTTTACAAAATGTAATGTGTATCATAAGCAAAAGACATAACAATATAATACATTGCAGTATTCCAGTCCTGAGATATAGAGGCTGCAATAGCTTCCTTTTATACTGGCTTTTTTCCTGTATTTTTTTACGTGGTGATCCTGCCCGTAACACACTTTCTGTCCTGAGGTGGCAACATACTTTGTATTAGGACAGCATACACAAGATAGGACTACAGAACCCTGCCCCTCTCCTACTGGCCATAACATAGAGGGGAGTGGTTTTATAGTCTTGTCTCCAAATAGCACCCAAACCGTACTCTCCGCTCCTCGCACGACCTCCTGCTCTCTAGCTCCCTTCTCTCCTCCTCCCATGCTCATCTCCAGGACTTCTCCAGAGCTTCCCCCATCCTCTGGAAGTCTCTACCCCCAATTTATCAGACTATCGGCTACTCTGCTCACTTTTAGGCGATCTCTGAAAACCTCTCTCTTCAGGGAAGCCTATCCTGCCCTCAGCTAACAAAGGAATCTTCTACTCTTCCAACCAATCCATCCCCCACAGTTACTACCTTTTGTACCATTAACCCCTCCCTCCTAGATTGTAAGCTCCAAGGAGCAGGGCCCTCCTATCCCTCTTGTATTGAACTGTATTGTCGTTGTATTGTCTCCCGTTATATTGTAAAGTGCTGAGCAAACTGTTGGTGCTATATAAATCCTGTATAATAACAATAATAAAAATAATTGTAGTCCGAGGTGTAATTGATAACAGTCAGCAAAGGCAGAGAGCACAGGAAGTGATCAGCTGAAAATTGTTTTGGCAGGATCAAAATACATTTTTTTAACTTATCAAACAGATATAACAAAATGTTTTTAATGGTATATTTTTAACAGACCAAAAGAGAGTACATGAAAGTAAATCATCTTATACACACTTTAATAAATAGAACATTTGTAGTATTTGTGGAAGTGTGTGTACACCCTAACAACAAACTTCTCTTATTTGCTTGTTTTTTTGGTCTGTTAAATGTACAATTTAATGTGTTTGTTACGTCTGTCCTATAAGAGCAAAAAATACCCGTTGACTGCCCTAGAAATTAGTGATGTTCTTTGTACTCAGCAGTCTTACCTCAAGCAATAATTCCAGGCATCTAGTTTACCTCTCTAAACTATAGAAACCTTTCCATCTATGTTAGAAAGATGTGGAAAGGGGGAGGTGTTCTGTAGTCCTAATACACTTAGGGGTTGATTTACTAAAACTGAAGAGTGCAAAATCTGGTGCAGCTTTACATAGAAACCAATCAGTTTTCAGGTTTTATTGTCAAAGCTTAATGCAGGCCATAGATGGGTCGAAAATCCCCTGGGCCGATTTTTCGGCCGAAAATAAAATTGGACGAGCCTTTTCGGATCGTTAGTGGGCTATTCCTTTGGTCGGGCCGTTTTTCCGGGATTTTAAATTTGTTTCGGGGCGAAAATAAAATTGGCCGATTTCGGATCGTTTAGTGGGCTATTTGGGCGGCCGTTTTTTCGGGAACCGTTTTTTTTTTTTCTGTAAAGTTGGAAAAAAAATTGGGCCGATTTTGCCGATCGGCCAATTTTCGCGGCAATAGTGGGCAAATCGGCCGCTTTTTTGCCGATAAAAAAATCTGCGCATGAGCAGTGACCTGCAAGAGGAAGACAAAAAGAAGAAAAAGAAGAAGAGGAAGAGGATGAAGAAGAAGAAGAGGATGAAGAAGAATGAAGAGGATGAGGAAGAGGAAGAAGAAGAAGAAGAGGGAAGAAGAAGAGGGATGAGGATGAAGAAGAAGAAGAAGAAGAAGAAGAGGAGAAAAGAAGAAGAAGAAGATGAGGATGAAGAAGAAGAAGAAGAAGAGGATGAAGAAGAAGAAGGAAGAAGAGGATGAGGATGAGGAAGAAGAAGAAGAAGAAGAGGAGAGGATGAGGATAATGAAGAAGAAGAAGTGGATGAGGATGAAGAGAAGAAGAAAGAAGAGGAGGATAAGGATGAAGTAGAAGAAGAAGAAGAGGATGAGGATGAAGAAGAAGAGAGAGGACGAGGATGAGGAGGAAGAAGAAGAAGAAGAAGAAGAGAGGATGAGGATGTAGAAGAAGAAGAAGAGGATGAGGATGAAGAAGAAGAGGATGAGGATGAAGAAGAAGAAGAGGATGAGAAGAGGAAGAGAAGAAGAAGAGGAGGATGAAGATGAAGAAGAGGATGAGGATGAGGATGAAGAAGAAGAAGAAGAGGATGAGGATGAAGAAGAAGAGGATGAGGATGAAGAAGAAGAAGAAGAAGAAGAAGTAGGATGAAAATAAGAAGAATTCCAGTCCAGCAAAAAGTGTCCCTGCAGAGAGCTCCGCTATTTCTGACAGTTCTCTGACAGTTCCTTCACATTTACAGCGGTTGCAACAATGTATCTATTTGTTTCCGAATAAAAACATCTGTATCCTAAATGGAAACAAATAGATACAATGTTTCAACCGCTGTAAATGTGAAGGAACTGTCAGAGAACTGTCAGAAATAGCGGAGCTCTCTGCAGGGACACTTTTTGCCGGCTGTAGAAGGGATGAAAATCGGCCGATTTTTTTTACCATTGATGGTAACGTCGGCCGCTTGAACGACCGAATTTTCGTTTTTTAAAAGAAAAATCTGCCGTTTTTCTCCCCATCTATGGCCTGCATTAGTGAACAAGCTGGAGTTAGAAGCTGATTGGCTACCATGCACAGCTGCACCAGTTTTAGCAAATCTCCCCCTTTCTGTCCTAGTGTGAAATTGCTGCACATTTATTTTGTAAAGCGCTGAGCAAACTATTCGCGCTATATAAATCCTCTATAATATAATAATAATGTGTTTTTTTCGCGTTTTGTTTTTTTTTTGTTGCTCGGCAGACTAAAATGCAAAATGGAGCAAAAACGCAGCAAAAACACACTACATGCTTTTCTCCAGCGACTCCACTGAAGTCTATAGAACCAAAACCGCAATGTTTTGCGTTATAAAAAGTCCCTGACCCTTTCCAAAAAATGCACCGGGTGAAAACGCGGAGATGTGAATGTGTCCTAAAGGAAATCATGTTAAATGGACTGCCATGCATTTCCACTAAATGCTGCAGAAAATGCTTAGGTGTGAACCTAGACTTATGAAAAGTACATTGTGAAAGCATTGTCACCCTGGGACAATTATTATTATTATACAGGATTTTATATTATTATTATTATACAGGATTTCTATAGCGCCAACAGTTTGCTCAGCGCTTTACAATATAATGGGAAACAATATAGCAACAATACAGTTCAATACAAGAGGGATAGGAGGGCGCTGATCCTTGGAGCTCACAATCTAGGAGAAGAAGTATGCCATTGCCAGGATCACAAAGTGAAGTCAAAGGGCAAAAAGCTACCACATCTAAAGACTGGTTAGCTTCCGTAAAGCACATTTTTTTCCTTGGGTTTAGATACCCCTTGAAGACAGAACCATTAATATACACTGGCATTTGATATACTGTATGTGCATGACCTTCTTTTTTTAAGTCTGTTCAGCTAGCTTTGTGATTGAAGCACAGTTACAGTCAGCATAGCCAGGTTCTGAACTTTTTTTCACTGCTGTTATATTAACCTCCCTGGCGGTATGATTATTTAAGATTTTTGGTGCTGAAAGCGGTACCATTATTTTGCATGGAAATATGTCATTTTTTTATTGTAGGCCTGTCATTTTTAGGAATAACTCACTGAAATCTGTCCAAACAAGAGTCTAGTAAACATCCCGGGTATGATAAAACTTGAAACATCAAATCATAAATTATAATTTAATAAATAATCGTAAAAAATAATAATATAATAATAAATTTAAATCAATAATATATTCAAACCAAAAACACTGAAATTTGAAATAGAGCGCCAAGTTCGCACATTGCTGAGCAAAGTCGTAAAATCGTTTTCCGTGTCTGATGACGAATTTCCCCACAAATCCTTATCACTCAATTCTGCAAGCGGTTCTGATTTACTATCGCTGTTCTCTAGCTGTTCTAAAACCGATATTGACCTAAAGGGACGCTTTTTGGACGCCATGGACTTTTCTAAGTTTCCAGGCAGAAAGAACAATAAAAAAAATGCAGGCAGGGCACAGGACAAAGCACTAGGGACAAAATGTATGTGAAATGCTTTAAAAAGCAATGTTTTACTATGTAATAATCGTTTCCAAAAAATTAAATTTTTTAAAACTTTAAAATTTGCCACCGGTTCCGGCCCCCGTACGTCCCGACGTCACAGGGACCGGAATACGGAAGCCGGATGCTGGCATCGGCCGGAGGAGATGGCCGGGGGATGCTGCAGGGGGGACATCACGGGAGCGAAGGACAAGGTAAGCGCTGCAGGGAATCCCTGAGCAACGCCACATGGTAAGCCTGAGTGTAGCTCGGGGTGACCACTTGTGGTACTGAAATTTTACCCCGAGCTACACTCGGGAATACCGCCAGGGAGGTTAAAGTGGTCATGATAAGATGGAGGAAGCTATTGCTGATCTCCTCCACAGAAAATGGCAGTAGCCTGTTTCTCATTTAATGCCTTGGGTACCTGATCTGGAACCAGTATACAGATAAGCACTTCTGACTTTGGACTGTCAGGCTGATCTGGTTGTCCTTTAGCTTTTTGAGTCACTGACTCTAGACAAGTATTCAGCCGGGGAAATCAGAGTGAATTGCACACTTGCTCCACTTCAGTGACTTGGTAAGTATCAAAACTGTTAGACCAGCAAGACAAGCAAACAACTAGAATTTTCAGAAAGGCAAACCAACATACAACCTTAGTACAGCTTTCCTTTAAATATTCTCCAGTAGTTTACGGTGACTCAGAAGCAATTTCCTTGAAAATAAGGAGTAGATGGCTGATATCTTATCTTGCTTTTAGATGGGTGAGGCATATTTTGGTCATAAGCATGGACAATTTTCCACTACAGTGCTATCAGATGGACCGTGCTCCACAACAGGCAGAATGACCCAATCAAGGAGAGCACTGCCCCCAAAGACATCACTTCCCTGGTCTAGAACTTCTGTGTGAGGGCAAACATCTCTCTGGCTGGTGAAAGAGCCACTCAATAGGAAAAGGTAAGTCGCATTGTTGCCAGCAGCAAGATTGCTTGTCTTGATGAGGGCCTTACACATCCTGCCTGTGGTGGCACCTTGGAATGCTCAGAGAGCAGAGAAAACACTCTTCTGCTTCTCTGGCACCACTTTTTTTGTTGGCTGAGCCAGTGAAGTATAATTCTGCCACTGCTTGGTTACCAGCAAGCAAGATTATACAGCATTTCAGCCAGTAGGGAACAACTCTAGAGACAGGTAAGTAGTCTTCTAGCAGGGTGCCAGTATACCCACCATGCTTAGATGCAGGCCCCTTAAACACCTTTTTGTCACAACTTCATGTCCAAGGCGGACAGGTTTCTCTGCTTTCCTTTCTCAGCAGATTAGAGAGGCAGAGGTAGCTGGTCAAGTGATCTGCAACCAGGTGATAAGCCTTCTACTGTTGGAACTGGCGTGTTGGCAGCCTAATAATACACAGTTTTCTGGAAAACCCAACTACTGTGGCTAGCGCCCAATTGCTACCAGGGCACTGTAGCTCCGTGGGTTGGCCTCCTTTTTTAGACATGTGCATGCCAGATATTTTTGTTTCAGATGCACTTGTTAATTAAAGAATTTAGTTTTGTCACATTTGTTATGTTAAGCCGATGTCTGTTTTTGGAATTTATTTCGTACCTTCAGCATTACATTTGTTTAGTATATTCATTGGTCCAGGCGGATGTAAAAAAAATGAACAGTTTTTCTGGAAGAGTGCCATATATTCGATACATTTTCGAATTAGATGGATTCAAATTGGACAGATTCGATATTTCCGGATGCTAGTCCAACCCACCAAGAGAAATGGTATGAGCCGATTGGACATTATCGACATGCATCTGAATTAACAAATGGAATGAAATTCGGATCCATTCGTTATCCAAATCCGAATTATCAAACAAATGAGAAAATTTAATTCATTTTTCAATAGGCTCAAACTACTATTGCATCATGTAACGCCATCCAAATGAAACAAATGCATCTTAAATTTCATTATAACTTTTTTTTTGGACTCAATACCATTAGTCTTTATGTCTATTCGGAGATATAGATACATCCAAATCTCCAAAAATGAAATTTTAGTCTGAAAAACAAAGCAAAACAAAAAGAATGTCTATGCCTTGTGTCCTCAGGTTTCAGATCCCTTCAGCAAACGCCTGTGTTACCAGAGCTACCCTGAACTTCACTGAGAGACTACAAGTACTCATTCTCAGCTAAACTTTGTGTTGTTATAGAGTCTTATAGAAACAATACTATACAGCCACGTGATACCCTAGTTTCATTATTGTTTCTAACTTTACGCCGTTTAGTAAATTGCCAGTTACAGTTACTCCCATACTGTACTCCCAGAGGAAGTCGTATGACGAAGCGCATAAGGGTGTGATCAGCAGTGAGGTCACCACGCACGCCGCAACCACATGGCTGGACCATGTGATCGTTTCTACGAGATTTGTATTCTACAGAGTGGGTGGTGAGACGCACACTGATTCTGCTAGCGGTTTCACTGCTTGTCATGTACCTGATAGGAGACTGAAATGATGAGGTCGGCCTCACTTGTGTCACTAGCCCTGACCCCACTGGAAGTGGAACAGAGGGTGTCTAGGGACCAGGGGGGACAAGAGTGCCAGCAGATGTTGCTTGAAGCACTTGCAGCTGGAGTCCTTAAAAGACTGATGAACCACAGATTCAGGAACAGTAGCAATATGCAGAGCTGATATGGTAGATCGCCAGACGTGCACCAGAGCAAGGCAGGAAGCAGGAATGGGAGACAGGAGCAGTGTCATAGGAATAGCCGGGGTCATCAACGGGCAGACAGCGAGGTGCCAAATCATAAGCAAGCCAAAGTCAGGAGCAGAGCCGAGGTCAGGAACGAGTATCAAGCAGGAGAGGAATCAAGAGTCAAGTCAGGAACAAGCTGGGTCAGCAACAAGGAAATCACACAGGAACGAGCAGGAAACGGGGAACAGCTGAAGACCAGTCAGCACTCAGCACAGGCAGAGGCACCCTTTCAATAGTCCATCTGGCACCAATCTTTGCTGTGCGTGTGCACGTGTGCATGTGTACGTGCGTGCGTGCGATCAGGCATTTCTGTGCGCATGTGCACATCTGGTCACTATTCTCTGTATATTTACGAGTGCATGCACATTTCTATTCACCAGCCGTCTCACAGGAATTCCCTTACACTGCTACTTGCAGCTACAATTTATTACTGAATGCTTTTTGTTCTTTTATATAATGTGAGTTTTAGTCCAAGGGGGATATTTGTTGGTAATATATTTTCTAAACGTTATTATGCTATGGCGAGTGTTCTTTCATTTACCCACATATGGAA